CTCGGTTAATTCTAATGTTCGATAAGAGAGTAACACACGACCTTGCGCGTCTTTACAATTAAAATATCTCTATCAATAACGCGATCAATTTTACTTTTACTAGCACTACTATTTTTCAGAACTTATTCCTCCATAAAAAGATATACATTAATCCATTCAATAATTAGTAAATTGATTGTATTATATGAAATATATTTAATTTTGCTCGAAATCAATGTATGAAATTATCGTTCCCATATTACAGACCTCGACAACAGGAAAACGTGCGCTTTATTTATGCGTGATCACATTTCTGATATAAATTTTATCAATGCCATTATTTTTTTATAAACAATTTCAATACAACTTAACAATTTATTTTGTGTATAATAATTATATATATATATATGAAAGAAAATGCATCTTTACAGTATAATAAAAATATAATATCTCATAATTATATCTCGTAGTGATTATAACAATCAAAATAAAAATTTCATAAATTACTTTACACGTGATGACTAAAAATTTTTATTAATAAATATTTAAGAAAGGAATACGTAAAATGCGTTTAAAGTTTTTAACTCAAAAATATAATTTAATTTTCCTGAAATACACGTGTTCTCCAATCAGTCGTATTCCCGAAATTATCGGTGATTGAAGATATTAATGCAATATCTCACAATTGAGACCTGTCAAACAAGGATCGTGCCAAGCATGCCTCGCGAGCTTCCGGGAGCAGGCTACCATCTGTATTTGGAAGTCCCGCGGGATACCTCGAAATTCCCATCAAATTCGCGTTACGCTAGCATCAGGATCCCAGTGTCTAGGGTAGGTCAGGTCAGGAATGCGCAGGACACGATGAGAGGAGCGTAATTGAACCTCGACCGTTTAAGTTCAATTTTAAACGAGTCAATAACATCAAAAGCTTCGACTATCCGGCTCGCATCCTCGCATAGAGCTCGAACATGCTCTACGTAACGTATATTGTAATCTAGACCACCCTTAGATTCGCCGCGTAAGTCACGACGAAGATGAATACCGAATTCGTTCTCAAATTATCGAAGCAGCAAAAAGAAAATCAAATAGTGTAAATTTTTTTTTAATTATATAAAAATAAATTCGGACAAAAAATTACACTACTCTTCATGAGAAACTTATTTAAGCTCACGGAATTTTCTCTACCGTTTGCCCGATTCTATCGAGATTTCAATTGTGTATGCAGCTTTCTTTATAAACAGATTCTGCCTGTTTCCGACAGGTACGCTCAAGGTTCGCTGGCACCAGGCTGCCACTTGCTCAAGAGAGCTTTCTTGCGTGCCGAGGAGAGACCCCCACTTACTAGATGCTCGTAGATATCGAAGGTTTCTAGTGGGGATTAATCATGTACTCGAGTGGGGGTGGTTTCGTCGTTTGGCCACCTCCATCGCGTCCTCGACACAACCAGGATGACAGTCATGGGTGGAGGCTCGTTAAATCTAAACACTTGCCATAATCATAGTGTTATCGAGTGTCACGAGTTCCTCCCCATAGATCTCAAACGAATGCGACAAAAACCAAGTTCATATTTTCGGCGATCAGACACGCGTGACGGGCTCTTGCGAATGATCGAATCGAGGGTTAAGAAACCATCGAACGTCAAATATGTAAAAAAAAATTATAGTTCAAATTTAAACTGGACAGGGTGTCCAGCAGACTCAATGAAAAAAATTCCCTGACTTTTTCAGATTTTCCAAGACCAGAAATTAATGTTTTCCCTGACTTTTTAGTATTTTTTCCAAATATATAATTATATCTATATGATAAATCAATTAAATGTTAAATCATGAACTCCATTCCCACATTATGTACGATAATCGAAATAAATATGTCACTATAAACTACTTAAATAATCACCTTTTTATTTATATTATATCAAATGTTTTAGTTTTGTCTCTATCAAACATATTAAATAAAATAACACGACGATGAAAATATAAATTAACGAACACGCTGTAGATGAATCGATTTTTAACAACACAGATAATTAGCGTGCTGGAGGTCAAGGAAAAGTTTATATTTATTTAACAAAAATTTCAAATTATTGAGACAAATGTAGAATAATGTGAAAAATCCAGATAAATAGTAAAATTTCCTGACTTTTCCCTGACAATTCTAGATTTATAAAATTTCCTGACAATGCTCGGTTTTCCAGATTTCCTTGACCACTAGATACCTTGTTAAAAACGTTACTAAAATCCTTGTTCAATTTATTCCCGTTCAAATATTTGGAAACGTAGTATATTTTTATCATTTATTATATTATTTTAGAAGTAATATGAAATCTTCGACTAATAAAATGCTGATCATCAGAAAATTAGTACATCAAAGTAGTAAGTTAAATCGTGTGTTTTGATTATGTTCCTTTAACTTTATCAATTATCTTATCTTAGTTGATTATTTGTACTTCCAAATTTAAATAGATAGGATATTTCGTAATTTAAATACAATAATAAGAATATATTAAACAATTAATTTCAGAAATAAAAATTTTCTTCAAGAAATTAAAAATGTTTAATATATTTCTATTTTATTGTGCGTTACGTTTTAAGAAGAGCATTTTATCATTTAAAAATTGATAGTTTAATTTATTACGCATAGTATGACGTTTAAGCAGAATGATACGAGTATTAATTGAGATTTTGCGATATTCGACTTCTCTGATCTCCACGTCAATTTTCTTCAGAGTATTCATAAGGGACGAAACAAGTAGAAAAAACAACCCGCCGTCGTCACGTACGTGAAGCAACACCGATATTGCGTCGACGCCTGGCGTGTTTGTCACATCAGGGGTGTATGTCGAATCGAGGGTTGTTCGCCGAAGCAGGCTCGATAGGGTGGCTCGCAATGACGTAACAAAGCGCGCGTTTTGCCAGGGGAGTATAATGCGACAGGAGGCAGAACTACCCCTAGTAGTTCAGGGGCAGAGTTCAGTGATCCCTTAAAAATCTCTTAACACAGTTTCGCAAACTCTTGTTTATATCGATTTGTTACTGAATATAATTTTCTCGCTAGAACCCGGGAAACAATTTTTCATACATAATTATATATAAATAATTGTATAATTATACATATATAATCGTAAAATTATACGTGAAATATATCCATTTTTATACATAATTATATATATATATATTTATATATAAATTATAAGGGTTCATATATAATCATGTCAAATTATATATGAAACATATATATTTATATATATGAAGAAATACTTATTCATATATATATATATATATATATATATATATATATATATATTATATAATTATATATAAAAAGCACTTTTCTTTTTTATTATTATATGGACATATTTTATATATAATTATGCGATTATATGTATAATTTTATATATTTCTATATAATTTTATATTGTTATATATAAAAAATTTTTTTTCCGGGAAGCTTTCTCTCGTTAGCAATTATCTATTTATCAAGTTTTGCACGAATAAAGAATGAGTTGAAATTGTAAATATTACCATACATATATATATATATATATATATATATATATATATATATATATATGTATGTATGTATGTATATATCTTTAAGTAATTATTTATATTTAAAACATTATATATTTTGTGCATTTCCTATATTTGATTATTTACACGAAGGATGTGCATTTTTTTAAGTAACTTTGACAATTTAATTTAACAGTGTAAATTCAAATGTTAATGTATGACTCCAACATAATATTGTGTAAATGTTTAAAATAAATATTGTTTGCTATAACTTATTATTCCGATACATCATAAGACATGTGTTCTATATAGGGGAACTGACCTCGACGAAGCTTAACCTTTGCGACGTCACATGGCCTGACATTTGTATCCGGCAATTATGCGATTCTAGTTAGATAACAGCGCGGGTTTCCACCCCTTTGGTTTAACCTCGCCCCAATGGGGATGAAAACGTCGGAACGCTTTCGGACTCGTATCACCTCCGCGGAACAGGAGCTCATATATGTTCGTAGTATCATTAAGTTCATAGCTATTATAGCTATTAAAAGAGATAAAATATTTATATTGATTATTTTTTAAGTACAAAGTATTTTGAAAATCATTTATGCCAAAAGAAGCATTTAAAAAAATTATTCATTTCTATAACACTCTAAAGAAACAAACTCGGTTGAATCGTCACTCGTTCTTATATATAAATAATTATATTATAAAAATTAAATATATACATATATAATAGAAATAAATAAGAAATTATAATTAATTAGTTAAATGTACTATCTTCAAAGTTATCTATTTGTTTTATAAGAAATTTGTAAATTATGTGTTTAAAAATACGTGAAATAAAACGATACTACACACATGACACATACATATATATATATATATATATATATATATATATATATATATATCAGACAATAATTTCTCAAGTGAATTAAAATGCAAGCATTATTAAGCTTGCAGGTTTTCAGCCACCCTTACATATCAGGGTTTCATCTCGAACAAGATTTTTCCAATCAATAGAATATAGAGTATAATAATAATTCTATCTCCATACAAAAGTGAATGTTTTTCTAATGTCCTTATTTATATTCTTACTTATATTATGCATGAAATTAAAAAAAAACTAAGACATATTTTTAACTAACAATAAGATATGTAATAATAATTTTATAAAGTTCGTGATACACGATTCGTATATTTTTATTTTAATTTTGTTTCTTTATATATTAATTCTGTGTTAAATAATTTTAAATTATTTAATACGATTCAACATAAATGTAATATAATTAAATTATTTAGATTCAATAGTTTATTATTATTGTCAAAAATATTTATGTACACAATTTGACGTCAAAATAATGTCTCTTGATATTCAAATGACTTGTACTTGGGGGAATCATATGTTATAAAAATTCTATACCATTTTAAGATAATTTATGCTAGGCATATCGATCGCAAGTAAACATGTATATGAAATATGAGTTAAATTAATTTACTTTAGAAACTTACCGGGTGGAAATCTTGCACCAATTACAGCTTCGATCCATTGTTGAGCTTCTGCTTCTTGGCTTGCCTCACGCTTGCCAGCAACCTGTAATTAAAAGAAGAGGCCATAAATCTCTCTATATAGGTAGTAAAAAAGCATATCACGTTAAAAGTTATTCTTATATTCCTTATTCTCTAGTCATAAAAATGACATATGCTATCCACCTGTATTCTTCTAAACAAAACTTTAAAAATAAGAGCTCAGTGACACTTGGCAACTATAAAGACAGAATGATAAATGATTTATTTTACATTTTTCTTACGTAGACATTTACTTTTGGCTAAGAAAGCTAACTTTAAATCTTTCGTAAACAAGGATATTTTAAGGAAATGAATAAATTTCTGAGAAAACATAAAATGTCAATTCTCTTCTTTAACTTAACTTAATATTATTAATGGTTACAAAATAAATTTAGTCTTTCTAACAATAAATAATTCTGAAATATTCATACATGTATAATTACTACTAAGATAATAAGAAATGTTTTTTATGTTATTAATTCTCGCAATAAAGCGACATCCACAGTGAGAGCTCTTTTTATATAGCCAGTCTCTATTTTAACCTTATGTATAAGGAAAAAATATCTCTCATCTCTTCTAGAGGCTAGAGAATACTATTTATGTTTGAAATAAGTTTATCAGTTTCCGCAGAAACTTTCAAAAATTGCCGTAGCCGATGGTATTTCACATCGTCATGGCGGGGTATTGGTAAAAGTTTTCAACTAGCAATAATCGCACCTCGGTAGAACCTCATTGGTTACGATATCGCCACTGCGCAAAGATGACGAGACGGTCTGCCGTGGCGGTATTCATAGCATCGAGGAAGAATTTCAATCTCGAGAAAGCTTTCCGTACTGACACCACGTAGCGTCTGTTTCATGAACTAAAGCAGCAGTCGAGAGAGAGGGAGGGAGAGAGAGAGATAGAAGCCTTATACATTGAAAACATGTGCCACCGATACGCTGTCACAAAGTGATGAATAAAATTTGCCATTATTAACGGATAATTTAAATGACAAACTAGCCGGATATTTGCAAGAAAATATATTTGAATAGGAGAACATGACGGCAGGAGGTGCGCGCTCGAGGAAGCACATGCCCCACGGCGTTCGATCGTTAACTCTCCGTTTCTCTCTTGGATTCTGCCACAAATTCTCTTATACTAATATCATTATTTTTTAAATAATTTTTTAATAAGTTTGTAAATAATTATAATTTTTTAAAATACATTTTTGATATTTTAATTATGTTGAATTAAATAATATAAACAGCAATTTTAGCAACATCATAATAAAATAATATTGTTACATTCTCAACACATTTGTGTAATAATAAATGCAATTAAAGTTAAATAAATCAATAACTTGCATATTTCTTAACTAAATGCATTTATAACTACAATTAATTATTATATTATTGATATATAATCAATGACAATTTTGGTGCAAATTATCATTTGTGCATTAGATATACTTTAATATTAATAAGTAAACGAAAAATAAGCCCTAAAATATAATTATTACATATGCTCAATTATTGATGATGATAATGAATTGCAGGCTATAATAATAACTATTATTACTTATATACATATAATTATTATTATATGTACACATAACACAATGCACGCATCTTTATTTTATAAATATATATCAATGAGAAATATCTAATTTTATTTTTTATAATCAGTTTTTTTTGTCTATTATCAGATATTTGTTCACGTCAATGTTGAAAGATTTTTTGAAAACTCTTACTACAAAACCTTCTAACGAATCGTGATATTTTCTAAAGAGATTACTAATGACGGGCCATTTATTACCGAAACCATGTTTTATTACGTAATTCGAACGAACGCATTACAAAATCGTTCCAGAACTGTCTACACACATCCGTTGTATTACTTGGAAATAGCGATTGATAAAATCTAAACTCGGCGGTGGCTTCACCCTTCGAAATGGCCAGAATCCAGAAAGTACAACGTTTACGTTATCGACGTTTTCATCTGGCGAATGTCCACGCATGTTGAATCGTACTTTGCGCAAAATACACCCACTTCTTTCAAGTTTTTCGCTTTACAGCAATTACATTAATGCACAATTATGATGTATATCAACAGTTACAAATGACATTTCATACAATATAATTCTAAATTACTTTTTAATGTGTGTGTATATTATATTAATTTTTATTTATTATTTAGATTTATTTTGACATGTTATGACAAGAATTATTATAATTGAAAATATAATTCTTCCAGCAGTTAACTAATATATTGGATTTTTAATGTCTCGTCTATATTAACATTATTTAGTCGGAATATAATAACAATAATATCCTTGAAAATGTGTAAAATTGTTTAGCACGAAAATACAGCTAATATGTATGGCCATAAATTAAATGTCGATTACAAATCATAAAAAAGTGGGTCGTTGAACTAAAATGTTTGTAGTTTAGATTGTTTATGAATTGAATTGCGAATGCTTAGTACATTGACAGTTTAAAATAAGATTTTCATAAAACACACATATACGCTAAAATTAGATTGCCATCAGATGCCATGCAGCTGTGTATCAGTAAAGAAACTTTATTACCAAAACAATTCTATTTTAAAAATAGTTCTTTTAACATATTTTTTATTAACGCTCATCAATACTTGCAACAAATTTCATATAAGATTTTCGTGCGATATTGCGGTATATATATATATATATATATATATAATTATTTAAGGAGTTTTCAATCATCAAATTAATTATGTCTTCTTATATTTATTCTTGCACAAAAAAATTATTTATATATATTATTATTTTGTTTCCGTTTCGCTTTTAGTCCCTATATAAAATAGTGTCAAGTGTTGCATTGGCAATGTCAGATGGTATTTTCCCGCGATCGTCCGTCTGAATGCAAATTGTAATTTAATTTAGGATCACAACGCGTCTTGTAAATAGGGCCGCAGTGTCAAGATCTGGTTACGAGCGGAGGTGTGGGAATACCCATCCAAAAACCAGGCAACGAGCCAAAAGCACTCGTTGCTTGAATATCGGCAAGGATACGGCGGAGGGGATGACGCCATATAGCGTCGCGACGCTCAGCTTCCGATTTAGTTTCTACTCAAAGTTTCAAAGTCACACTAAGTCCGGGAAAGCTATCATCACCGTCGAAGAAACGACATAGCAACAAAATGCCGGTATGTTGTTCTTAATAAACTGCTTTTTTTATCCAATTTTTGTTCCAATGATTAATCGTGATATGATTCCTCGTGATATGTTTCTAATAAGAAATATACATATATACGTTTCAATATATTTTTTATACAAATATATAATGTATATATATGCGTATATTAAGACTATTTAACATATATATCGATAAAATGTGAACATAACTTTTATATTTTTTATTTATGAAAAAAATAATTAACGTAACACTTTAATATTTATTAGAGACAAAAATGAATAATCTAAAAATATATGTCAAATATATTCTATACATTGATTAGAATCAATGTAGATTGTAATTACAATTTTTTTTATACAATTGCTTAATTTTATTCATATATTACAATGAATATGCTATTAACAATTCAGACATTTTTAACATGTGGGTGCGTCCTTATAATATTTATAGTTGTGATTCAATTCATCATTCTGCATGATACATCGTTTTACGTCAGTACTCTCTTTTGATGTATGTTCTCTCTCTCCTTCACATCTGATCTATTTATATCTTAACATAAATATCATTATGCAACGCAGACTTTTAAACGTTTTCCCGAGAACTAAAACAAATTTAGAAAATATCAATGGATAACACTTAACGATGAAAGTTTCAGTTTCAATGAATTTAAATGTGATATATATAGTTAAGTACATGAAGAAATTACAATATTTGCAGTTCATTTAACTGAAATTGTCGATCATTGTTTTAAAATAATAAAATTATTGTTCAAAAATATTGTATTAATATTTTTCAATTTATTGCAATAGTTAAAGCTGCCTGTCATCTAAATTAATATAATTCATCGATCATGTTTATTTGTCGTATTATGTAGATTTGATTTCAAGCAAACGAAATTAATCAGAATATTGATAAAATAAGTTTAAAAATTGATCTTTTTTTATTTTCTTATATTATTAATTTTATTATAGATATGTATGTATATTACATTACATTATTAATTTAATGTAAAATTTTGTTTAATGTACGTGGGATGTTATGCTCGATTATAATATGCGATTCATGCAGACGATGCGTCGAAATATGTCTTCAGCACAGGTGTGCGACTTGATCTGTCGCCAGCCAATTCACTCAAGTGTGTTGCGAATCGTACGGACCCACCCAATTTAACTTTAAATTTAGTGATTTACTACGACGTTGCGCGTCACGTTCGCGAAACGTCCTCGGAAGCCGCTTTCGTCCGAACGGAAGCTGCTCCCTTTGAAAATGGAGCTTAAAATATCATCCCGAGTGGATGCGATGAGAAACACGTTGCCGCAACGTCTGACATGCTGTAGATAAGAAGTAAAAAAAATTCATATTTCGCAACGCAGTAATTGTCTAGCCAGTATTATCTCTTAACGAGAATTTATTTTCGTCAGCTCTAAGATCGTGGATAGGCATTATATTTATTTTATTATTGATGCAATTTGGTTAAAAAATATTCTAATTTAATTTTATGTTATTTGTAATAATATTACTTTGCCATTATTTTTAATATAATATATTCTCGCTCTAAAATTGTAATACTAAAAATAATATCAATAAATGCGCATTTTGCACAAGTGAATCATATATCATAGAAATATTGCACTCAATTAAAGTCAATTAGAGTTGCTTCATCATTCAAACCGGTATTGCATCTTGGCTAAACCCACGTGCCGAAATTGTTATATTCGTGCAGTTGAGCTGTTTTCGAAACTCCGATCATGATGTTATTACAAATTGCACACGAGTCCATTATTGTATATCTAACATTGAATAACATCACTCTTCCTAAAATATCACACGGTTGAGCGAATCGGAAAATTCGTAAAACAATCGTTATACGACAATTATAGCGCGATTTTGAAAGGCGGTTTTATAAAAGATTGTAATTTAATTTTGCTATAAATACTGATTTATTGCTTTGACTGAATGGTGCCAGATTTACTTGCGCCAATCAGCTGTTCGAATCATAAATTGAATCATGTAAACGTTAAAGAAATTCTAAATGCGTGGAAGCCATTAAAGATGCTATTCATAAAACCGTGAAACATTTCTCATTTATGAGATTTATGCATTGCTAATATGCACTTAAATTAGTTAGTAGACTATAATTAAACTATAATTAGATTTACAAAATTATATTCAGTATTATCTCTTCTTATACCGAAGAGATTTCATGTTTATAATTCATGAATATAAATCTTACATTAAAAAAAAAACTGTTTTACTCTTTGAAAGACAATTCATTTAAAGTACGAATCAAGATACAGTATATAATGTACATTTAAACACGTGTTTACATGCAGCTTAAGCTTTAGCATCGTTGTGACAGTTTTCGTAAAAGTCAAGATTTTAGATGCTGTATTTTATTTTCGATGTTGGTCTTAACGCGCGAGTAATCCTACACCGTCACGTATACGATCTATTTTTAATACAGCCATTTTTAAGTCATCCAGAGAAAATGCTTACAATCGGCGTTCTTTTGTAGAAATACATTCTAAATTAAATCTTCATAAAAAAAATTAACAAAATAATTGTTCCATATGTCAGCTTCTATTTAAAAAAAAAAACTAATTTATATTTATATTTAATTCTATCTATTTCAGGGTCGTAACAAAGAACAGGAGGCTGAAGTTCTTGCCTGGATTGAGGCTGTAGTAGGTGAGAAACTTCCTCCTGGAAACTATGAAGATATCTTGAGGGATGGTGTAATTCTTTGCAATTTAATTAACAAACTTGCACCCGGATCGGTTAAGAAGATTCAATCTAAGGGCACCAACTTTCAACTTATGGAGAACATTCAAAGGTGAGCGACATCAAATTAATTTATCGTTTTCTTTATATATATTTCTATATATTATAATAATATATTTTTTATCTCTATATAAAATTGCTTTATAACGCATACACGTTTTCTCAATAGATTCCAAGCGGCGATTAAAAATTACGGTGTACCGCAAGAAGAAATTTTCCAAACTGCTGATCTTTTCGAAAGACGTAACATCCCTCAAGTTACCCTCTGTCTGTACGCATTAGGCAGAATCGTAAGTATTCTATTATGAGCAATTAATTAATTTACAATATAACACAAGATTAGAAATTAATATTAGATATTATTTTTATTAATTAGAAATTTATTTATGTGACACAAATGTGACTTTTAATTAATTTTCATTAATACAACAGACTCAGAAACATGACTGGAATGGGCCAAGTTTAGGACCAAAGATGGCAGATGAGAACAAGAGAACATTTACCGAAGAACAACTGCGTGCCAGCGAAGGTCAAGTAAATCTTCAAATGGGTTACAATAAGGGTGCCACTCAAGCTGGCCACGGTGGCTTTGGAAATACTCGGCATATGTAAATTTTTTATAGAAATGACTTAACATACATATGTCTAAATGAAAATGCATATCGTGCATTAAATGCTATACAATATGACTGGTTAGACTATTAAATACGGAGTAATACAGTAAAAACATCAAAATAAGTCGCATTTTTTAACTACGCGTAACATGTAAAGATAATATTAAGCTGTTGAAATATTTTTCAAATTTGTTTTTATCGCTTTCATCAGATTCAAATAAATTTTTATCGTAAATAATTATTTATTTTTTTAATATCATGATTATTGGCATAAATGAAATCGAATAATTTGTGTTGGTATTTCTCTATAAGTCAGTCGCTTTTTGCATTATCATATACATATATGCACCTCTGTAGTTTAATAACTTTAATTATTATTTCTTAATCGACACTTTAGATATTGATATTTAATTAATAAATTATTTTATCTTTCTTCTTATATCAAAAATCTTAATAATAGTATTAATTATTAACTATCTATTTAGTTGCCAAGAATATATTTTTATATGAATTTATAACACTTGTAATTTGCATAAATATAAGTATACAAATTTTTCCTGTCATTGATGACATGTAAAAAAAGCGCTTTGAAATAAACTCCTATTTTACTCTTTAATTCATATATACAACTTACATCAACAAGTTTTACACAATTACACACTATAATATATTAAATACATGAATAAAAATATGTAAGGCATACACGTATTCGCAATTAAATTAATATATTTCAAATCATGATAAATAAATTGTTAATATTATATGGATGTCAATTAAAATATTAAGTATATTAAGTATATTAAGTACATATATGAATACTAAACATGTATGTATAATTATACATATTTTTATATGTACCTACACATTAACACAATTTGACATATATACACATGTACAAATTATACACACACATAAACACGCAATACTATATACATTACACTATCACCTATAAATATAGTATTATAATATGTATAAAAATCTTCAATAAAAGTTATAAATTTAGAATATTTATAAAAAGTTATTAAAATTTATATAATGAACTCAATATTATCTCATGTAATGTTTGCAATAGTCGATTGCATAAATTATATGATTCAATTCAATTATATATTTTATTTTGTCAAAATTGATAAATTAAATCAACAAACTCCTACAATTTTATTACTATTTGCAATATGTAAATGTAAAGATATTATGTATATACATCAATATGTATCTAAATTAATAAATTATATATACATTTAATTATACTTTCATAAATATTATTTTTTATAACTTATATTCTCTTTATTATATATACAATATTGTAATTATGTTTATTGTGCGTATATATATGTATGTACATTTTTTTATGTACATGTATATATGTTAATTATGTCTATATACTATAAATTTTATTTATAGTATTTTATATTCTATAAAATTTTAATCATAATTCTAAAATGTGCATTAAAACGTACAACGATAAATATGTTTTTGAAATGTAGACTAATATTTAATATTTAAAGCAATAAAGAAACATAATGTGTATATAGCAATGCAAAAACTACTGACATTGCAATTTGAGATTAAACTAATCTCATGCAATGTGTTTGTGATGGCTATTTCGATTATATGTTAATAATTCCTTTTTTCATGAATAAAATTAATACTTAAATAATAAGTCCTAAAGCTAATATGTTATTGAAGCAAGTTGAAATCATTAAAATATAAAGATATTATTATATTTTATAAATATAAAAAAATGCTGACCAAAATATAAAGAATTTTGTGCTCTCTTAACAAAATATAATTTGTTTCTTTGCCTTACATGTGCATGTTTTGAGAGTAATGTATAAATATAAATTATTATTAGAAATTAATAAATTGTATGTAAGCACAATTTAAATGAGTGAAAAATTTTTTTGCCTACCCTACATCGTACTGTCCTATTTATCTTTGCACCCACGCAGATATAAAAATATCCATTACTGTTTGTAAATAAATTAGGAATCGCAGTCGCGTCATCGTGACACGCTTTTCTAAATTTTTCGAGGTAACGCTCGTGCTCGCTCCCATATGTTTCTGGTAAAATTTAATTCATATACTTTTGCTTTCCTTGGCAGATCCGAGTGCTTTCGGTTTATTTCTGGATCATCGTGGTATACACACAGCAACCATCGTTAGTCTTTACTCACGGCTCCAGTTTATTCCGTAATAGAATCGATCTTGCCGAAAAATAATTTTTAAATGTTTTTTTTCGAAATTTTTAATTATAAATTACTAATATCGTATTTCGTTTGGAATAAATTTTTAAAACTATTATCGCGTTATATATATCGTATATTGTTTAATTAATATGATTCATAAGACAATATATAAAAGATATAGTGTAGACTTATTCTGAAAGATATTAGAAGAGACGATTATATTTGCAAATTCTATTTTCTTTATCTGATAGTATGTGGTAATATTTGAGAATTGTTGGCTTGCTTTTAGAGAAACATGAACAATAATAAATTTTGGATTGTGATTCACGGTGTTAAAAGTGTTTCCCGAATTAGATACGCTTTAATGTTCGGATTTACAAAAATTTCGCAGATTGACGTACTGAGTCAGAGTATTTAAATAGAAGAAAAGTCAGTGCTTTAAACGTCACAGAAACTAAAAATATATAAGTGCAATATATTCAAAAATCTTATTTACATGTACAATTGATGTACAATTTTAACATTCCTGTGTTACAAAATTAATTAAAATGTAATTTATCGTATTAATAATTTATAATACTGATAAGTGAGTTTTAACTTTATATGCAAGCATGATTTATATTTTAAAAGCTATATGAAAATACATATTACATACGTATATATTAAAAATTATAATATTATAGAACTTTTCTGTTTCAGTTTTATTAATTAATGGAAAAAACATTTTTAAATTTTCTTAATATTTCTTAATACTTCTCCATTTTTATCTATATTTAAACAATAATTTTAATTAACATAATAAATTATTGTTACGCGTTTTCTTTACGCGGGAAGGACACGCAGATATCGTTAAATATAAACAAAACTACAATTAATTACCATATTTTTAATATTTACATTTATTTTCTTAATGTGTTAAGTTTTTATTACGTAAAAAAAATAACATTAAAAATATAATAAAATATAAAAACCAATCATGAAATTGTACAATATTATTGATTCTTGTAATATAATTTAGTTAAATTAAATGTTTTATAATTTTATAATGTTTCGATCTCTGTGAAAAAGATTATCTTTAATTTAAATAGCAACTGTATAGAAATATACACGCAATAATCACAGAATAAATGGACACTAAAATTATTCAAAACTAGCTAATCGCGAGTAAAAGAAATAAAATTTCACTCAGTCATGAGAGTCTGACAATGAGATAAAATATATATCTCCGATGTATATAAAAAAATAATGCTAATGGGTAGAAACATGTGCTTAATATTATTCAGTCAAGCAAAACACTTAATTAAAACGTGATCGAGACGATAAATACGACTAAAAAAAGTGATACTGTATCTCGTATGTATTATATCTCAATTTTGAGAAATAATAACTTGCGCCACTTACTTGCCAAAGTGGGCGTCCAGGCATGGCGAATTTGCGTAACTCGTGTGCTTCTCCGAAATTTCGCGACCGCGTTTCAACAGCTCTCAGCTTTTCACCGACTCTTGAGCTCAAGCACAAAAAGAGTGCCCTCCATCGCGGTTGTGCTGCGTATATATACGTGATAGATGCGCGTCTATGTTGGTCAATGTGGGGGCGCTTCTATGTATGTATGAATCACTTATTCGCTACTTCAGAATGGAATGCGATCCATCGCGTGTCTAGCGAGGATGTATAGTGGATGACGCAAATGCGATGACAAGCAATTTCAATTAGCAATTGAAATTTGATTTAAAAAATATATTTACGCTTTTTCATCAATAATTTTTACATTTTTTATCTCATTTGTATCTCTTTAAAGAATCGAGCGTGACGTTCCACAGATTATATACAAGTATATGTTATCGATAATACTGAGGGAGAACTCCGTATTCTCTCCAATTTTGCCGAAAATTGAGTATTTTGTGCGTAAAACATATGAATCTGTAATTAAAATTGTCGCTTTCAAGTAGGAAAAAGTTACAGTAGGTTTTACCCCTCGTAGGAAAGCCGAATTTTAATTTACAGACTCATACACATAAGAATACACAATATTGTAAACGTGCTATATTTTATCTCAATATTCGATTAATATTTATAAACGTATATTTTTATTAAATATTTGTTCAGTATTGTGTCCCGAGTCTATCATATTTTCATACGACCACCGCACAATAAACTGTCATATATTAATTATTATTAGAATACTTTGCAAATATACATACAATTAACGGAGATGACGGCAACTTTCCTGAAACTCGACTTTCAGTGCGCATATACAATATACTTATTATTCGCGACATTCTCGTTGCAAAATTCAGTTTTAAAATTCATTAATATATACGCTGACAGGCCTGCAGAAACGCAGCCAGAAATGTGTAAAAAAGCCTATGTATAGATTAGTAAAAAATAAATACACTTTCCTTCTCTTTCTATTTAAAAGGAGAAATCTCTCCAAAGAAATATGTAAAATATTTTAATATTTATGAATATCATTGATTAAATCTCCAAAATAATCTATTATATTCTTTGCTTCGCGACAAAATATTTATTAAATATTGTTTTACTTGGCTTTAATTAAACTAAACTTTATTTTTAATAAACTTGATTAAAGGCAAGTTATCGATAAACTTGCATAATAAAGAAAAGATAAAATTAACGCATTAGAAAAATAGATATAATTTAATCATATTAACGCGCGTTTTATTAAATCAATTAAAAATTGATTAAAATAGCTATTAATCATTTCTTATTTTTCATTCATTGTTTATAATATATGCATGTAGAAAAAATTCCTATTATGACACATTAAAAATGAGACGCATATATATATGTATGTATAAGTATAATAATTTATCTTAGTTCATTTATTTCAAGATACTGTATTTGTTGTATATATGATATATATTTATATATAATATTCTCATTGATTAGAAACTACAATTCTTTTAATGTGTAATAAGTATATAAAAATGAAATAGATATCAAACAATTTGTAAGAAAAATAAGAATAAAAAATTTTACCAATGTATCTTATTACTACAAATTATATAATTATCAGAGAAAAGTTTTTTCCTAAACTTTTATCTTATATGTACATACAATGTATGATAAATATTTCTGATATTTTCACACAAATACATTATCTTAAAATTTTTTAAAATAATTTAACACTCACCAATTTGCTCTGCAACAACGGAATCGTAGACAATGTTGATCTGTAAAATACAAACATATATAAATATTTTTTTACATAAAACAATTATCAAAATATTTAAATCATTTACTTATATTTCAAATCATTTTTGAAATATCAAAATTAATTTGAAAAATATAATTTATATTATACTATGCGTATTGTTAACTTCTTTATTCATACTTTAAGATATTAAAAACTATATATTTTGCAAAGAAATATTAAAAAAAAAAAATAGAAATATTTACAAAAAATATATTTAAATTAAAATATTTTACTTTTACACATATACAAATATTTATTATTATAAAATTATTAAAATTATTATATTCATTATATTAAATATTTTAAATATTTCAAAATATAAAATCTACATAGGGTACTTTACATTCATTATTATTATACAACACAATGTAAAATGTGAATCATTACCGTGATGATAAATGGATAATCTCATAAAGCAACAAATGAAAGAGTTAAATAAATTAAAAGTGATAATTTACCTTAATCGTTGCTCCGCCATTACATGATGCCTTCCCGGACCTCTTCTTCGTGGAAGCTTCAAAACACTTGCACTCGCGTTACATTTTTCGCGACGCGCGGCGACACCCGGATTTTATATACTTATCACATTTTCGAGGCGTTTCGGTAAAACGCGAGAATCGCGAGAGCTTAAAGCCGATGCTCCGTTTTCGCGTCGCCGCTTTTTTCGAGGCCACTTATTATCGGAGGGCCTTATCGAACGACGATGACTTCTCCGCGACGCACTCAGAAGTCGTCGATATTCCCGAATTAGCCACTACACATTGAACTATATTTCATATTTCACTATATTTCACATTTCACTATATATTTCATATTTCACAGAATATTCGATGACGAAGAAATCGCGATCGCGCAGGAGATTTTCCGATTATTTCTTGTCGCGAGCTCATACTTCGCCGCCGCCACGAAAGTATTATATATACACATATATTTTTATTCGGAAAAAATCCAGCGGCGCTCCACGCGATTCCGAGAATCTGGCGTTTCACGAAGCAATAACGATCGTTTTTTGTTCTTTCGAACACCATGTATAAACTCGCGATCGTCGCGTATTTCGATAATAAACGATTAATATACGTACTTATCGGTCTCTGCCAAGTGTTTCCGGCTCGACGATTCACGACAAAGTTTCAAAGAGTAACGTACGATATTGAGATGTAACAATTATCAAGATGGCGGCGCGACCGTATCGTCCTCGACCTACGATTTTACGATAATTATGGGCCTAATTCGTCGCGTGACGATGCTTCGACTCGATGACGCGAAAATACGACCGGAAACGCGTAATCGTCCGCTTAGAGTTCGCTCGACAACGCCGAAAAACTCGGGAAATTTGCGTCGAAAGCGCCCGGAAAATTTCCGCGACCTACCCACGCTAACTCTCGAGTCCGAACTGTGAAGAGCGTGAAGTCGCGCACCTTCAAAGTAGAGACCCTTCATGTCTAGGGATAGGCACTTTATGCTTTCAGCATAACAGCGTAATGTGTCAAAAATTGGTTTTAAGCATTAATTTTAATAGTTATGCATAGTACACATTTAATATTACATTAAGTTAATAGTAAATTAAACACTCAATATTATATTAAATATTTGATACATTATATTATTATATGCTCTAAGCATAAAGTGCCTGTCCCATATTCATGTCGGAGGAACAAAAGTTGAGCGAGATTCGCGATTGACAGGTCAATCTCGTTCTCGTTCTCGCGATCGCGATCGCGACGCGATGAAATTATACGATAATTAACGACGCGAGGACGCTAATTAATATTCACACTCCACCTTTTCGCGGACCGGACCGGCAATAAACGCGGGAACGTTACGATTGAGAACTTGGAAAGTGCGCCAGAGGGCAGCACTGAACAGCAACATTCTAGATTGTGTTCATAAATAATGTATAAGGCGCTCGACCAATCAGGGCGAAGCGATCCTCGGTCTCCCATTGGTCGACCGACTTCTGCTCCGACCAATCGCGGTCCGAGGATCGCTTCGCTCTGATTGGTCGAGCGCCTTATACATTATTTATGAACACAATCTAGAATGCTGCTGTTCAGTGCTGCCGCGTTTATTGCCGGTCCGGTCCGCGAAAAGGTGGGAGCAGAAGTCGGTCGACCAATGGGAGACCGAGGATCGCTTCGCCCTGATTGGTCGAACGCTTCGCCTGATTGTTAGTTAAATAGATACATTTGCGAATGCAATCTAGAATATGATGCTGCCATCTAGTGTACTTTCTATTATTCGTGGTCAATACTTGCGCGGCTACGTCGCCGATCCGCTCCGCAAAAGTACGAATGTAAGTATTAATTATAGTCCCTAAAAGACGTATACGTCGTTTAATTATCGCATAAATCCGATCGCGATATTAACCTCGTCGGCCGCGGATCTCCCTCGATATTCGTCCTCCCGAAAGTGTATCGGTAGGTCGGGAATCGCGATTTCTTCGGACGTCCGACATTTTTTTTTTCCTGCAAACAAACACAAATATATAATTTTCGTGGCGTTGTCAAGAAATGATCGGCGAGGCTCCGCGCGATTCCACGATTTCTTCGTCGTCGAATATTCTGTGAAATATTAAATATAGTGACGTGTGTAGTGCAGTAATTGTTATAATTCGGGAATATCGGCTTCTGAGTGCGTCGCGGAGAAGTCATTGTCGTTCGATGAGTTGGCGAAGTTGGCGTTGAAAAAATGGCGACGCGAAAACGAAGCATTAATTTTGACGACGCGCGAATAGCTCTCGTGATTTACCGAAATGCGTCGAAAATGTGACAGCTGATAAAATCTGGTTGTCGCGAATGCAAGAAAGTGCGAAAACGCGAGTGCAAATGTTTCGAAGCTTCTTCCGCGAGGACGACTTCTTCTCCGACAGTTTCCTACAGGAAAAGAAGTGCCGGCGAGGAATCCAGAATACCCTGAGAAGAAAAATAGTCGAAATATGTGAGTTGACTTATTTATTTCTATTAATATTTATAATTACTTATTTCACTATTTATTGATAAAGCGATAGAAAAATGTCTATTGTAAGTATAACGAATCTGTAAATTAATTTTTAGTATAAAAATACACATTAAAAAGTTGCTGCAAAATCGGAGAGGACAGACCTCTCCTACTATCATATTATCACTACAAAAATAATATAAAAAGAAAGAAAATTATATTTAAATATTTAAGAAAAGATATTTAAGAAAATTATTTAAATATTTAAGAAAAGATATTTAAAAACATATTTAAGAAAAAATTGATTTTTTTTTTTTTTTTTTAGAAACTGCATGCTACGTTTTCTAGATGCAACATTTTGCTTAATTCGTATGTTTCTGATAT